CATCTTCCTGCTGCTCTGAAATCTGCCAACAACCCAGAATAGTTCCACTTTCACTCAGAAACCAGGCTTTTCAAGGGAGAAATACATGCTCACCACAGAAGCTGCTGCTTTTACAGATGCTCCTGGAATGGTCAGTGCTTCCCACAGTGGCCAAAGCACAAACAATTGTTCCCTTGTATGCATGAAGGGCTCTGCAGAGCCTCTCCTGATGTAACTGCACCATCCTCAAAGGCACATTGCTCCCACTTCCACTTCCATCACTCCCACTTTTCCATTCATCCAAGCTTGGCAACCCTCTGATCAACAAATCCTCCCCATATWATAAACCTCACACGCAAGAGAAACTTCTCATTTTCTCACCAAATAACCACAAAGGCTGTCATGCCAGCAGAGGATCATGGAGATCAYGGAGTCCTAGAATGGTTTGGGTTGGAAGGGATTTTAAAGATCAACTCATTCCACCCTCTGCCATGGCAGGGACACCTTCCACTGTCCCAGGGTGCTCAGAGCCCCATCCAGCCTGGCCTTGGGCACTCAAAGGGATCCAGGGGCAGCCACAGCTGCTCTGGGCACCCTGTGCCAGGGCCTCCCACCCTCCCAGGGAACRATTYCTTCCCAGCATCCAACCTAAATCCATTCTCTGGCAGTCTGAAACCAATCTCCCCTGTCCTGTCCCTGCAGGCCCTTATAGAGCCTCTCTCCATCAGCATTCCCAGGACAGCCTCCATAGAAAGGAGGAAAACACAGATCTGTCCACGTTTCAGCCATTCCCCCTTAAGAAGAATATCTTCTACTTAATTTTCTTTATTTCTTTTCTTTTCAATGCTTTCTTTCCTTTTCATTTTATTACATTCTTGCAAACATACTSAAATTTGCTGTGATAAGTCATGCAGAAATAAAAACAACCTTCAAGATCATTCTTTTATCATATCTGAYGATAACCAACTAATTTTTGACAACATGAGAAATTGAATTAAGTTTTCTCCTCTGTTTCTCAACAATACCCTYAAAGCAAGAGAAAACTCCAGGATTCTTACTAAGTTTCAGTCATGCTACACTGAAGTAAAAAGCAGTGCATAAAATGTTGCAGCTATACATTTCAAAGCAGGTTTTTTTTTTAAGTTCAAAAGAAATATTTATGATTTTTGTAAGTATTTTTTTGAAATTACCCATTTCTGAAAGRTATTTAGTTAAAGGAGCTGAGTGCAATGGTACATAAATTCCTTGTGGATGTGATCATTGCCTCTGATCATCACACAGACAACATCTTTAACTACAARCTCCTTAAGTTTGGCAACATCTCTGTGAAGTAGAGTAGTATTGGTGGTAAAGGAAATTAAAGAACTTCCCCTGCAAAGAAAACCCAATCCTGGAGTGGGAAGAGGATTCACTCCATCTGAGCTAAGCATTGTGGCAGTGCCCCTGTCTTTTTACTGGCTTGGCTTGAGAAGGAGCCTGTTCCAATAAAGACTAACAGTCCCTGAAGTGATGGGAGTGGCACTGACAGAAAACTTCTTAACCCACTCTGCTGCATTTCCTCTAAYAAAGCATAGGAATTATGGTTTTTACCTTTTGCAAAGGAAATGGGTGATTTAAGGTTTTACATACATTTACTTGGGCAAAGAAGGCAGCAGATGAACCCATCAGTGCAGGTCTGCCAGGAATGGAAACGCCACTCACAGGTTTGGGCTCCTWTAGAATGTGTCTTCCACAGCAGAGTGCAAAGCTTGGGATATGATAAAGGCAAGATTCTAACATTTAAATTAGTTGCTAGTAAATCAACTCTTTAAAGTTTATTAACAATTCCTGTCACAGTTAAGATCTGTTGTTTTTCCTAGTTAACAAGAAAAAGAAATTACAATTCTGTTTGCTCTAAATGTGCAAAAAAATGTGGATAAGAATCATGAATGCATTTTTACATAGGAGGGAATTGAGGCACTTTGTTGCTAAGGATGCAATTGCCAGAAACCTTTGAGTGAATTTCTAACATTTGAGCAAGTGTCCTTGACTGAATTCAAATGGAATTAGGGTACATGAGRATTTTCCAAACACTCTCTGACTGTATGAAGCCTAAAGGACCCCAGCAACATCATCATTTCTAGAAAACAGACCAGGCAAAGAAGTGACAGCCCAGAAATCAGGGCTCCAACTGCTTTTACTAATGCATCAATCTGTTCTCAGGGTTATTCCAAGAACAGAAAATATGGTTATTCCTGGACTCACAAACTGAAGAGGAATCACATGAAAAGCAAGAATTGGCCATGGACCAGATAAACTGATTTAAATCGAGTGGGGTGCACAGATGAAATGTAGGTCCAGATAAGTTGAAAAGTCATATGAAAAAAAAATTGATAAGCAAATACACCATAGAATCATAAAATATCCTGAGCTGGAAGGGACCCACAAGGATCACTGAAGYCCAAATCCTGGTCCTGCACAGGACAGTCCCAAGTGTTACACATCTTAATTCTACTTCTCCAAAAAAATTTAAATGGTGGTTAATGCAATAAAAATACCAAATGGAATTGATGGCAGATGGCACAACTGACCAAATTATCTTCTTTCTGCTTTCTAATAGTTATTTCCAGYTCCTCACAACAGCTTTGTCATAACCTAATACAAACATTTGTACATCAAACAAAAAGATGCCAACCATTATTACCTTAGGATGCACTCTTTTATTTCTTCTTGTTTGTAAACAGGAGTTACTGGAGAAGCTGAACTCACAGCAGCTCTCACTGCTCCTTTCTTGCTTTTCCCACAATGACAAAGCTCCATGTTTTAAACCTGTCTCCATTAAATTGTTCTCTTGGTRATTTAAACCTGACACTGAAGTTCATCAGATCCAACCTGTGCCTGTCTGAACGAAAGCCTGGGCTSACTGATGGTTTTTAGAGTGAGCTGGCTGGAATCACGTCCAAGGCTGTTTTACACATTGCCCAGCACTGACACAAACCAAACTGAGCTGAGCTGGGAAGCTGATGCACGATGAAATCTTTGAGGATTTTGCACAAGCACAGCATGTTTGTCAATTAGGCTCAGCAGGGCTGCAAACCCATCCCTTGGGGTGCCTCATTTGCTCTGCAGATCCCCAACTAGAGACATAAGAGGTGAGGTCATTCCTCCCTGCTTCAACCCTCTCTAAATCCTCCTGCCTCACACAGGAACTAAACTTTATGAAAATGTGTCTCAAAGGGCTGTTTTCAACCTTGGCTCCCAGGAAGATCCAAGATAGGACAGGGGCCTTGTACCCTCTGCTTGGAGCTCTGGAACATGTTTTGTCTTTCTGCCTAGGGAAAAGGTCAGGAAAAGTACTGGAGCTAGCTACAAATACAATCATAGGCCACAGGGCTACAAAYGTATGTGCAAAGAATATAGAGAATATAAAAAAAGCAAAAATCATTCTGGCAACATGGTAACAAACCCAAAATTTGCACATAAATACACTTTTTTTTCTTTGCACAGAAGAAATGAAGAGTGTACATGGGAGCTATTGCAGTATGTGCTGGTCTACATCTCAGGAACGCCATGGATCAAAATTTGGGAGTTAGGCAGTGTTCCCACTTAGGAACAGGCTGTGATGTGTGAGGCACAGAATGCCTCCCATCACTTCAGTAACACACTTCCCCACTCTTTTGGGAGCAGCTGGAAAAATCTGTCTCCACATTTCTTTGGCAAGAAAGATGAATCAAAGCAAATGAGGAAAAGGGAAGGAGACTATCTCAGACAAGCTTCAAAGGGGACACAGTTCAGCAGGGAATTTATTCTCCATGATCACCTATTATTGCAGCCTTAGGGGGCTAATGAAGATACAGAGCATGAGGGTGATGGGTGAAGAGAATCAGACTTCATTCTATACACAACCCCCAAATTACACATCTCCTTCAGGTCATGATTCCTCTTAACTTCCAAACCACTCAGTGCTACATCTCTCCCTTGCTGATTTGAATGTTGATTTGTTCCATTCAAATCTTGCTGATTTGAATGGATCTTTGGCAGATTTCCACATTTGCAGCTCCTCTGCAGGWAACCTAAATGCAGCCAGCTCCAGGTAAATATATCTCATCTGCCTTTGATTTATGGGCAAGGCTCAGCCTTCCTAGAACAGCCATGCAGGTGGAAGGGCAGATGCAATGGGTGGGGGACCCACAGCACCAGAACCCATCCACATGGCAGGACAGGAGCTCAGAAGTGCTGCACTGAGGGATATTCCTCTGAAGCCTAAGAGCTGGCCTGCCTTCCCAAAACCTGGCAGTGGTTTCACAATTACATCTGCACAGCCACAGGGAACACAGCCAAAGGCAACATCCTTTACAAGTGAAATCAGGCAGAAATTTAGTTAGAAATTGAGTTCTWCCTAAAATCACTGCAGGACTTCTGGATATTATTAGAGATTATTAGGGCATGGAGTGATAGGACAAGGGAGGAAGGCTTAAAACTGACAGAGGAGGTTTACATTGGATATTATGAAAAAAATCTTTGCTGCCAGGGTGGTGATGTGTGCTAAAACTCTGTATCCATGGCTATGAAGACACAGCAGCATATCATCATAATGCCCACAGAATCATGGAATCGTGGTTTGCTTGGAAGGAACATTAAAGCTCACCCAGTGCCACCCCCTGCCATGGCAGGGACACCTTCCACTTCCCCAAGTCATGAGTAACAAGGCCAGAAATGGCTCTGCTGCCATCCAGTGTAAGCAATAGGCTTARCTAGGTAATAACTGACATTGTGGATTAGTAAAAGCTCTGTTTCATTAATCGGTAACAATCATGTCACCACTTTACTAAACCCCCTACCTCAGCATGGTACAGCGTCCTCAACAAAGCCCCAGGAGCTCCAAGCAAATTCCTCACTGTCTGAGCCTGAYTAATGCTGCTGACTTCCAGTAAGAGCATACACAAGGAAATATATTTGCCAGACTGCAATCAACATTTAAAAAAACTTTCAAAATTAATAAATTCAAAGAAAAAAATTAGATTATAAAAAGTATTTTATTTTCGTTTTTTTTTTAAATACAACATTCTAAAAAACATTTCACTATCACCCATACTGCCATACTGCTGTCTAGACTATTTTAATGCCGAGAATTTACGTATTTGAGAATTAAAATTATCACAGACCAAMACCTCTGAATATATCAAAAAGCTGRTGGCCCAGATTTAATCACTTTGATTAAATAATGCTATTATTCAGTAAGCACTTAAGGATGCCTAGCAATGTGCAGATAAAAACTCATCCTAACATCAGACACATCCATAACAAGAACGCTCCAAAATGGATGATGCCAGGATGCTGCCCACCCAGTGTTTATCAGCAAAACCCTTTCCCCAGTCTTTTCCTCTGTGTGGCACTTTGTCACTGACCATTTAACTGCTGGGAGCACTGGGATGGAGTGGTTTGACTCTTGCCAGTCTGGAGAGGCCAAGTCTAAGGCAGTGAGTAGGTGACTTAACAGGAACACAYTTCACAGAGGCATTACTGCTTCCTGATGGTGCTGCAAATTATTTTAAAACAAAAAGAAGGTATTACAAGTTTAAAGGGAAAAAAAAACAACACATGACCGTTGTCTTCTAATAGTTTTGCTAGCAGAACAAAAGAAGCATTCTAAAGAGAATGCAAAAAGGTCTGAACCAGAAGCACATGGAAATCACCCCCAGGGATYCATCCCTYTGGAGCAGCAGGAATGGTGCACAAGATTAATGAACCAGCCACGCMCTGCAGCAACACTGGGCAACTGTTCCCTGTGTCCTGTGCACTCTCAGGCACTCCACAGAGAAACACTGAGCACAACYCCAACACTGAGAAGAAGGCTTGAGAGAAAGGAGCCAAACAGGAAGAACCATGTATACAATATGGAGAAAAATCAAAGAATCAGCAAACAGCAGCAGCATGCTCWAACACCTTGAGAAAATAAAGCTTCTAAGCACTTGATTTACTGGAGCAGTTAAAATACTCCAACACTACTCTAATATTATTTGCTTAGAATAAATAATAATTTAGCACATACCAGAGATAAAGAAAGCTCTAAATGAGAGAGAAATGGACACAAGAGAATCTTTTGGTTAACATCTGATCCAGTTTGGAAAATACTTTATAAACCCCATGCAGAAAAAGGACTTAAGGATAATGCAGTAAAAGAAGCACAGATACAGCTTTCTTTCCTTTCTCTCTTTTCTCAACTGTCCACAGAAAATCTTTATAAAAAATACATAAAGGGCAGGCATTTTCCTGCTGCAATAATCTGGTTTTTTGTTTGCTTTTAGGAGAGCTTGCTAAAAACTTAAGTCAGCTGATGTATGTGTTCTATAGCTGCATCTCACCCGTACCTGGTGGGGTCCATTTCAGCTTTTTGTCTGTGACAGGACTTGATGCATGCAGAGGCCTCTCAGCTGCTTCAGGGGAACTGGACATCACCTTCTGCCTTGGCTCAGAGTTTTGTTCTGTCATCCAGGATGGGGAAACCACAGGTGATACTGGGACAGTAAAAAATAAAACTTACTTTAGGAAGATGCTCTTTAGCAGAGCAATCATCACTTAAGATGACAGATCACTGCCCAGCAGAAATGATGAGGATGGTACTGGACAAGAAGGGCAGAAGAAATTTCTCCTGACATACAAATGCAGAGAAGCAGCGAAATTTTGCTGGTTTGGGGATGAATAAGCTCCAGTGTTTAAATTTAGTGTGAAAGCACAATTGAGCTGTCAGGAGTATGAGGGGATAATGCTTCAGTAAGGGGAGAGTAAGGGAAAATACAAGTCAAAGCAGCACAAATTTCACTGAAAATCCAAGCTAAGTGTAAGACATCACATCCAAAGCACATCTAAGAAGAGGGTTTTTGTGGAGAAGAACTTACTGGGTACAGACTCTGGCTCAGAGTCAGGATCATGGTCTTTGTCATCACCATTGACCATCAATGACTTGTGATGTGCTGGAACTTGGGAGGCTGCTGTCCTTTGTTGGGAGGCTGCTGTCCTTTGTTGGGAGGCTGCTGTCCTTTGTTGGGAGGCTGCTATGCTTTGTTGGGAGGCTGCTGTCCTTTGCCTCCCATCACCCTCAGGTGCATCATCATCCATAACCTGATTGAGACCTTGAGAAAACGTGAAGGGGCTCAATTAACTCAAATTCAAAGTAAATCTATTCTCCTTCTCTGAAAGAATTTGCTATTTGAGTCGCCAGAATTCGTTTTGGTGATTTGGAATAACACTCTACAGAAACATATCACTGATACTAGTTTTCACATGATTCTCATTCTATTTTCTCATTGTCAAATTTATCAACATTTCTCTGTAATCAGTTTAACAAAAAGACCAAAAATAAAAGTAGAAAAATTAAGTTTCAAATGGCACAGCAAATATSTGGTCATGTTTGGTTGATCCTTAGACAGTATGAACCTACAAAGGAATTGAGGCTTAAGAGCAGCTTCCTGAAGAATTAAATAAACTCRGTATCTAAAAATACCACATGTCTGTGGCTTTTCCAATTACCTTTTAGTGATCTGTAACAATCTCACTCAGCAATCAACAGATCTGCCCATTTCAAGACTGGGGACCAAATTTTTAATGAAAAAATTGACATATCCTTCAACCTTTACTTAAGATAAAGACTCTTTTTTCCACATCAGTGAAAACCAGAAATCAGTGGAAACAGAGAATAGATAAGCTACTTAAATGCTCTTTCTGAAATGAGTATGAGGATAACTTACCTAGAAGTTCGCTGTCTACACTGCAATTGGAAAAAGGGGGTTGCCTCTGTCTGTTTTCTGATTTAACATTCTTACCTGTTTTAAAACCCAGGGAAAAAGACAAAAAAATATTACTACACAAAAAAACACATTATAAATGTAAAAACATTAAGAAAGTAAAATAGCTAWAGTTTTCATCTGTCTCTAATCCAAGTATATATTTGGAAGATCTTACAGAATAATTACTTTTCTCGCACAAAGAAACCCAAGAACATAAGAAAACAGACAATGCCTAAAAACTTTCACTTTCTTGTCATGACATCTTGAAATAAAATACGATTATTAATCTATTTCACTGTAAAATAAACTGCCATGTTCAAATTCACTGCATATAAATAAAGTGTGTTGCATGGAACTGTACAGTAACCTTGYTCTTCTGAATCTTGCACCTCTTGAAGGTTTGCAGGTTTTTCTTTGATGGATAAGGCTAAGGCAACTTCCAAATCTCTTTTATAAAGTTTGTCATCCAAGGATAACCTGGGGAAAGATACCAACATGTTCAATGATTAAACCATTACATGACTGTTACAGATCTATTTCTGGCTCACTGAACTGTTAAAAATTMAGAGACTTGTAAAGAGATTAATATTTCAATACGTATTTTCCAGCATATTGTATAACAAATATTGCATTTTGAAATACTTRGATAAAGTACACACTAATTTGTAAAATACTCTATACTTAAAAGTATTGTGAATGCAAAACATTGTATATACACTTACATACATATATAACATAAACTATTAATGGGYATTACCACATTTGCTTGAAATGCTGCACCAGAATGTGCACAACTTTACTAATTTAAACACAACTTTACTAACAAAAAATAGGTTTCTCTTTTTTTATAGACATCGACTTTGTATCTTCCTTTATGTTTTTTGGAAGGAAYCAATCTTTTTATTTCTCTGCTTAGAAGTTTCTTAGAAACTCRGATTTTTTACAGTTCTTTGCAAGTGCATCAATAAAGCTCAAAATATTTATAACAATCATGTATTAGTTCTTTGTCCTCAGCTGCTTAAAACTCCAGGGGAAAAGAAACCAAACCTGAATACTTACTGAAATCCAGTTTTACACASAGTTGACCACAACATTTCTTACCTTTTACTAAGTGTCTGTGCCTGGGATGGAGTCACTTCTTTGGGTGGCTTTTTTTGCTTCTCTTTTTTCTCTTTCTTTGATTCCTTGAGCTGTGTTCTGGATTTTTTGCTTGAAGGTGCAAAGTCTTCATCTGTTGGAAAACAGCAACAAGCTCGCATGAATTTTCCTATATTCTTAAATGTCATACTTACATTTCATTGCACATTGAAAATATATCATAATAACCTTTTTTGGAAATTAAACCTATTTTAAAAGAACACAACAGCTATAACTGCATTATCCTTAAACGTATTTAAAACGAAAATTCAACTGACCTCTTTTGCATAYGCTTTTATGTAAGAGGCAATGATTTCAAATTCTTGATGTACAAGAACATGCCACTTACCATCATCTTCCAAATCCCCAAACTGAGAATAATCAATAACTTTCTTGTTCCTGTGGCAAAACAAACAAAACAAAACAAAACAAAAAAAAAACAACAACAAAAAAAAAAAAAAAGTAAAATATACACTACTATTAATCCTTTCTGACTGAGCACTTTGATTTGTTAACACCTGATTTTTGGGCAAATTGTGTTTCACAAGAAAAAAAGGCACTGCATCTTCAGGTGTAGAAAAKCATGGAATATCCTGAGTTGGGAGGGCCCCACAGGGATCATTGATCCAGACCCCCCAACAATCCCACCCTGAGCATCCCTGGCAGCGCTGTCCGAACGCTCCTGGAGCTCTGGCAGCCTCGGGGCCGGGACCATTCCCTGGGGAGCCTGGGCASTGCCAGCACCCTGTGGGCACACAAGAACCTTTCCCTGCTCTCCAGCCCTTCCCTCAGGTCCTGTCACTGGTCACAGAGAGCAGAGACAAACCTACAATCAGCACAACTGTACATGCTGGGTGATTGGGAATATCTTGCAGGTTTTTTTGAAGAAGACTCCACAGCCTCTCTGGACAGTGTGTTCAGGGCTCGGTCACTGCCCGGGGAAGG